ATCTATTATACGGGGATAAAATGTAGATTCCGTGGTGCATTCCGCAAATAGGCAGTCGCCTATGCTCTCTGAGAGTATGGCACAAGAGGAACAAAGAAAAAAGGCTCCTGCTGACAGGATGTTACGGACATTGAAGCGATGGAAAAATGAAGGAAGCTTCGATTTATTGTTCTCAATATGATATAATATCAAGGTTATATAATGAATGTATTCGCGAGTTCAACTACCGATAGTGGCGCACCGAAACGTCAAATTACTCGTTGTCGAGTGACAGTTGAGACTTGTCAGACTTGTTTATTTATTGGAGCTAATGACATTTATATCATATAACTACTTACACACTATTCAATCTCTTTCCATTTCTTTGAAAGCTTGCAAAAGTTGATTAGAACATGTCAACACAACCAGGGGGCGTTCTGGACTTTTGAACTCGCTAATAATTTAAAACATACATATGTAATAAGCTGGATAACTATAGTTTACGAGCGGATATTTTTTAATGTCGAGTTGTCTAAGCATCTTCGTGTTCAAAATTGGAGTATGTTTTTTTATCACTTCAGTCGATTAAAATACAAAATCCTACCAATTTTCTTCTTTATTGTTGTTTTTTTCGCATCTTTTCCTTGTCTTTCAACATCCATATGTTGCTAATGTCTACTTATATGTCTCTTAAGTCCCCTTTATGTCGCCTCGCGCAATCAATGTCAAATGAATCGGAATCAAAATAACACTTTTACCAATTTTCCACGTCCTTTCTTTGCAGCCGACATTCAAACGTCAATTTTGGCACCGCAAATGGCTGTCTGACATGAACTGGTTGAGGTTAAAACCGTTTGTGGTAGTTAACTGACCCACCTGCTGGGTTTCAATCCGGGCCTACCTATTCGACGCGTTAGCAGAGACTCTCTGGGTGCCCCCCGTCAGCAAAACCCATTTATCCGTTTATACGATAGTACGAATACGAACGGACGAATTGACAGATCTCCAACCAATAGAAACACTTTCGTACCATCGTATAAACGGGAGTGCGCACGTAGACGCATGACAATGAGGCCCCTGATGTCCCGCGCACATCGAAATCAACGTCATATTGACGTGAATTGAGTCCGCTTGGCGGCAAAAAGGACGTTTAAGGTCGATTATCATGAAAAAATGACGTGATATTCACGTCACTGAGCATTAACGTGCCGATCTAGTCTTTTTTTTAAATATATTTCTTGTGTTTTTCGTCTATTATA